GTTTATCCTCCTAGTCAGTGTTCCACAACCACTTTTCATTGCAGGTGCTTTGGCTGATGTATTCACTATGACCTACTTAAAGTTATCCAAGAGGGAAAATCTAAAACACAGCAAAGTAAACCAAAACTGTCTCATGGGCCTTGCATTTTGGATTAAGCACATTTAATACTTAAGAGACTGATAAGCCATTTCGGTTTCTTTTTACTAGCTATTATATATTACAGTGCACTTCCCAAGAGTACCGAGGCCTGGGTTTGCTGTCATTCCTCAATGTGTTCTGCATGTGCTCATGACTTACTTTAACATCTAAATCAGGGGTGCCCAAACTCGGTCCTGGAGGGCCGGTGTCCTGCAGAGTTTAGCTCCAACTTGCCTCAACACACCTGCCTTCAAGTTTCTAGTATGCCTAGTAAGAGCTTGATTAGCTGGTTCAGGTGTGTTTAATTGGGGTTGGAGCTAAACTCTTCAGGACAGCGGCCCAGGACCGAGTTTGGACAGCCCTGATCTAAACTGACATGGAATTTACTTAATTTCTTCAAATCTTCAGCTGGCAAATCTTCATATGGCAATTCCTGTTGTAGCTGGCTTCCTGTGCCCTGAAATCAACCTCAGTTTTGTTCCTTTCCAGTGGACAGCCAGGATACATAAAGTTATACAAATATGGCTAATATCAAAGGTTTTTCCTTATTATGAACACAAAGGATGCCACAACGTTCTGTTTTCCTTGGTTTCTATCAACAGAGCCAATCTAATTTTCCTGAGAGAGAAAGAGCAGGTCTCCTGAGTGAGATCATTTTATTTCTCTCCCGCTGTGAGTTTGCAGTGGAGAGTATGGTCTTCTGAGAATGTTGTTGACGTCTTACCCAGATGATAATACATCTTTATTTGTCTATACCTGGCATACAGTCATTTTCTGTTGTCCTATGTAATGATCACTGCAAATTATTCCCTTCAAAAGCACAGTGCAATTCCTTTTTCAGTGTCAACAAAGTAAAGGAATGGAAATAATGTTTTATAACAATGTTTGTTTGCTGCAAAAAGAAGAAAATCAGCAATAAACTTTTAAATAATTTTATTATTTATTCATATGTAGGCCTACTTTATTTTGTGAACAGATGTATAGTATTTTTCCAGAAATGTTGATGACATTACCGTCCTGCATATTAGGATGTCCAAAAACTTGTTTAAGTGAATTGGACTATAACTTACAGTAATGCAAAATGCAGATTTCTTTGCATTTTAATTTGAATATGCTTATTCCAAATATGACAACTTCTAATTCAAATAATTGTTTCATACAGGAGACACAGATCATCATCATCCTCAAAAACACCATCATTTATGCTTATCTATGTTTTGAGGTAGCTTAAGTATTTAGCTCAGATAAGTGGGCAACAGACCATTTTGCAGATAAAAAGTTACACACCCTAAAATAAATATTCTGAAGGCTGATCCAGAAATATGACTCATGTCATGTTTCTCAGGAGATGTTGATACATTCCAGTTAGCCTAATGCTTTATTGACAGCTAGTATAGTAATGTATTTGCTAGCCTTTTACTAATTAAACATCACAAATGAAAACTATTAAATTATTTTTGTTAATTGAAATGAAAAATAAATTAAATTAAATGAAAATGAAATAAAATAAAATATAAATATTAGATGAAAATGTTTTAATTAACTTAAATTAATTAGAATTATAAATGTTGCCTTGGCAGCTAATTGAATATAAGCACTAAAATTACATTTACATTTAGTCATTTAGCAGACGCTTTAATCCAAAGTGATTTACAAATGAGGACAATGGAAGCAATCAAAATCAACAAGAGAGCAATGCTATGCAAGTGCTATAACAAGTCTCAGTTAGCTTAACACATACACATAGCAAGGTTTTTTTGTTGTTGTAGTTGTTGTTTTAAATTATATAATAAATAAAAAGAAAACAGATTGAATAGAAAAAGAACAGAGCAAGCTAGTGTTAGAGGCCTTTTTTGCTTTTGTTAATTGTATAATAAATTAAAAGAAAACCAATAGATAGAATACAAAAAGATAAGAGAAGCTAGTGTTTTTTTTTTAAGAAAACAAGCAGTTAGTAAATGAATTACTAAAATTAAAATTACTAACCTAACTGCCCTAAAATAAATAAATAAAAATATTAATAATTATAAATATAAAAAACATATAAAAACTATATTAAAAATGACAATATAAAATGAAAGCTAAAATGCTAAAATTAAAACGTTTTGAAATTCAAAATATAAATTAATGCTATTTATTACACGGCTCTGTGGAATACTTGATTCTGATTGGTCAGTCGCGACATTCCGAGGTATGTTATCCCTCGATAACAACCGGTAAAAGCTAATAACACAGGCTCACCCGGGTAACAGCAGTCGGCGCTGTACTCTTGCTTGAACTATTTTTT